TGGAAGTAACCCAGATACAGGACCACCAAGGTGTTTTGGTTGTGACTGAGGGAGTTCCCAGTGAGCTGTTTTCACTGGGTTTGGGGGCTCTGAACTCGATGGCACTAGACCTTTTTTCTATTTTAAGTATTCATTTATTGACTTATACCCTGCCTTTCTCCCCAACATATTGAAAGGCTTGCTGTCTTCTTTGGCTGCCAAAATATTATCTTATGGTGGTCATAAATACCTTGCTTTGCTAAGCTGCTGTCCTTGACTCCATCTCTAGCCACCTCTTGCTTCCACTCCTTTCTTCTCTTCTCCTATGCACCTTGGTTTGTTCAGCACCATATGCAAACAGCTGAACATCACGGGGGGGGGGGGAATGCTTGTCCAAATTTAAATGCAGGGCACCTCTGTTCCTCTCCAACCTTAAAAGGCTGCTTGCTCTTTGAGGCTAGGTGAGGGAAGAATTGCAGGCTGCCTGTGCATCTTCCTCAGCAATTCCTCATTGACTACATGACTGATTTTTCTTTCCTTCTCCTTGGCTCAAAGGGTCTAACAATTACCATAGTGCCAGGCTGTGTATGGGAACCCACTAGGAGATCATAGCTCCAGCGACAGATCATTGTTGATTGTATGAAGCCAGAGGGATTGTTGACTTCCAACCATCTCTTCATTCCCTATTTATGGTTGCTTTGTGAGCTCATTATGTTTTGTTGGGGGGGGGTACTTAAAGTGTTGTGAGGTTTGTTGTAGAGCTAACTTCCTTACTGATTAATATCTTAGGTAATCCAGCAGCTATGATACTAAGATTAATTCTTGTCTCAGGGTAAATATGGTGCATGTCTTAGATTTAAACCTGTGGAAGGTTAGACTTTGTAAATAAAAGTCTGTGATGCTGTTGGTTACAGCATTCAAAGTGGATAATGAGTTTCGTAGCTTCTGATAATTTTATTTGACATGTTGACATCTTGATGGCAAGTCCCATGCTTACATTTTGGAAGATGCGGGCTTCTAAATCTTATGCTCACTTATGTTTGTCCTTACATTTTTCTCCAGGTCGTACGTTTGTGTCAGAGCCCCAAGCTGGCACTAAAGAACAGTCCGCCCTATATTCTAGACCTGCTCCCTGACACATATCAGCACCTGCGAACCATCTTGTCACGCTACGAGGGGAAGATGGAAACTTTAGGAGAGAATGAATACTTCAGGGTGTTCATGGAAAACTTGATGAAGAAGACGAAGCAGACCATCAGCCTCTTTAAAGAATGGAAAGAGAGAATGTACGAAGAGAATTCCCAGCCTAGGTAAGGCAGTTCTTTACTGGTTATCACCTTACCTTATCTAAGTCCAAATGGATATTGAGGGTCACTCTTGAAACATTATTTAAACACTTCTTGAATTCTTACATGTTCCTGGTTTCTTCCTAAAAGTCACTTCTGTCCTGAGCCAATCATGAATATCAGTTGAGTTCTCTATTTTTGCAGTGTTATCTTTTTTGATGATGTAATATCGTAAGAGTTGGAGCTGAAAGCAAAAAAGGCTTTGGAGATGCTTAATAGTTTGTCATAAACTTTTGACTGTATTTGCAGAAGTATATTCTGACATGGCGCTTGCAAACTGCTTAATATTAAAGAACATTTCTCTAATATTAGCGTTCAAGTGGTGCTTCAGTGTTTAAAGAATCTCACGTGTTTTACCTCAGACTTACAACCATCATGTAAGATAGGTCAGTATTGTCTCCTTTTCATGAGAATTAGTCTCTCATGGGTTCATAAAGCTTAAGCTTTACATCTCTGTTCCCACAGATTTTGGAATTGTGTAGTAAGTGACTTGGTCCAGGGAGGAGAGAAGCAAAAATAATATTTTATTTATTTATTTATCCAATTTATACCCCGCCCTCCCCGCGAGCGGGCTGAGGGCAGCTTACAGTAGTGGCACCAGTTGCCAATAAAACCATATAAAACAGTACTAAACAAATAAAATCATAAGGTGCTATTAGTTATCCTTACAGTGGCAAGCATTGTGGAAGAAGGCAAATAAGTGGATGGATGCTGAGTTCCTTTCCGCTACTGCACACTTCCCCTTTTCTCTAAGGCCACTGCCGTTCTCTGAGTTCTCTTGAGTTTTTGCAATTATTGTGCACCTCCATTTTGCTTATGTTTCAAAGACAGTGTTCTTTATGTCACCTTTCCCCCCACAATCCTGGACGTATGAAAATATTATGAAAAACAGCAGGAGCAGTAGGTTAAGTTCCCTTTTCACTGTGCTTGCTGGTCAAAGTAAGAATTCAAGCTTCTGCTAGTTCTTAGAATAATGGACGGTACTTAGGGCTCTGAAGCGAAGTCTTACAAGGTAAGACCAAGGAGTGCTTTTGGTCTACAGACTACTGAGTGTTTGATGCTAGACCTCAGGTTGATATCCCTAGCAGAGTAGTTGACACATCCCCCGTGTTCCAGTGCATACTTTGGGAAAACACCATGCTGGTTTTGTATATAACATGGGAACCTCATGCTATATACAGAATGGTTCTAGTACCATTCCTATAGCACCAAAGCAGCTGCTGCCAGGTTTAGGAACTTGCATCCTTATAACTCTTTGTGGAGGTTAGAAGGAACCTCTGTAGTTATACCTGTGTGGACAGGTGTTCATTTAGTGACTGGTAGATATTTTCACAAGTTAAAGTATATTTGGTGGCAGTTCCCTGTTTTGAAAACAAATGACGTCAGTGTAAACAGATGGTCAGTTTTAGCCGTAGAAGTCTTTTGCAGATTCCTGCCACTTTTTACTTTATAAATTTAGCAATAATTGCTTGCTGTGAATGAAAAGTCGGGGTGGCTGTGCTGCTCAACCTTTGTATGCTTCAGAGCAGATGACGTAGTTCTTGTGTGTGCATTACTAGCATACAAACTGCACAGACATTAAATGACTAGTGCCAAACTCCCCTTTGTGAATTTTGTCTGTCCGTAGATGCTTAGCCTTTTTCTAATGAGGCCGGGACATAGGCAGCACACTGGCTGTGTGGCCAGCTACCTCCCTATCCCGTAGTAGTAGCATTCTGCTCGCCTTCTGCTCCTTCAGCTTTGTAGGGCAGAGGTAGACGGTGTCAGGGCTGCCGGCGCATCTGGAATTATGCATTGTAAGCTATTCTGGTCAGGTCAGCACTTTATTTTGTTTGTCAAGCCAATATGCAAGCGTTTTCCCTTGTGTGTTTGCTGAGTACTTTTGCATGAGCAAAAGGAGGGGGGGGGAAGAGGTTGCAGGAATGCAGAGAAATTTGATGAGCATTCATTGTACACAAACTTGATGGTGTTCAAAATTTAGTAGCAGGAAAGCGTATTCAGCAAGTTGAGAAAGGGAGGTATTCTTCAGCTTAATGCATATTAGGTCAACGATTTTTACGTATGTCCTAAGGGTAATGCATGTGTTGTGCCACGGGTATTGGGGACTTTCTTTCTGTGTTCCTCTTGTGAAGGACAGGGACATTCTTAGGAAGAGATTTCGGAATCGGAGATAAAGGTCTCGTAAAGAGAATGCATGCATGATTTGAAGGAGCTTCCTGTAGAGGGGTAAAGCATAGCTATAAAGTCTGCATGTTGAGGGAAGTAGAGTTGGCTACGTACAAAGCAGTTTATTGCCTCCTCATCGAGCAGATCCAAGTGGAAAGCTGGCAATTTTCTAGTGACTAAAATAAACTCTCTGTCCAAGCTTTCAGTTGATTGTGGGATTCTAAAACTCTGTATTCTTAAAAAAAAATCTTAGCACTCACCTTCACCTTACAGCATATTTTCAACTTTTCTGTCATCTACCAGTGTTTAGCAACCATGTTCTGTGATGGTTAAAGCTGTGAGTGAGTGCTCTCTAATGTTACATGTACTCAGGAGTTTAATTTTCTCTCTAGGCTCGTATTAGTTTCTGTCGCTTGCTGTGATAGAATTGGTGGGAAGAAATTCAGTGGAAATGGCAGCTGGCTTGTATTAGGGTTTGGTATATCCCCCCCCCCCTGTCTTGCTTTGAGGTCTTGAGAGAGAGATTATCCAAAGCTTACTTCTATTCATATGTCCATTAATCATGAAGCTGTAGCAACGTGTCACAATGGGCTGTAAATTGCTATCTAGTTTGCCTGGTCTTGGGTCCAGTGCCAATTACCGGCCCAAACAGATGCAGCAGGTGTGGAGGAATAAAACGTTTGTTGAATTCATCATGGCGAGGCATCTGCCCCCTTGCGTTGTCGCTTCCTGGGAGCCTCAATACTCCCAGGTACTCTGTCAGTGATGACCAGCTTATCTTCTAAACCTTCATTGTTACCGGTGGATTAATCCACCAGAAAGTTCTGGAAGACATTTGGACCTGTTCACCTCTGCAGAGTCCATTATATTTCTCAGCCGCTGTGTGAGAGAGTCTTGAGGGCTAAGAATCCGGCTCTTCACACAACCCTTCTGTGATTGTGAAAGAGTATCTTCAACAATGGAATGTTGAACAAGCTTGTATAACAACAGCGTGTCATCCTAGAACTTGTAAATCAAATATTTTCCTTCCTTTCAGAGGACGTACGACCTGACCTGCATAGAGAGGTTGCTGAAGTGTTTGAGACAAATTCTGATTGCAGCGAAGGTGTTGCTTGGAACATTTGCTGTCTCCGCTCACATCAAGACTTGTAGAAGTGCTGCTTCAGCTAGCTTTTATATTTGTCATTTGCTCTAGGGTATGGAGGTACAAAACAACACAGGGGGAAAAACCCCTGCAGATTTTAAATCTCTCTGTGCAGGCACAGACACAATCTTACCAAGGAAGGAAACTGATATTGTGGAAAAGTTTTTTGTTTTTTTTTAAAGTTGCCATTTTTAAATCAAAAGGACTGTACTTTTAAACTGTTTGTGGAGCATGAATGCACCAAAAGTAGGTGTCGGTATGTGTGTTGAGTGCTGACAAATCGATTCGGATATATAGTGACCCTATGAATTAATGACCTGTAAACTGTCCGGTTGCTCAGATGCTCAGATCTTGCAAACTGAGGGCCGTGGCTTTCTTGACTGAGTCAGCTTTGAGTCCAGTAGCACCTCAGAGACCAACAAGAGTTTCTGGGTGTCGGCTTTCGAGATACAAAGCAGTCCCTTTGTCAGGCACAGTAGAATAGAAGTGGAGATCTGAGTCCTTTTATCCTAGTCAGAAGGTAGGAAGGGTGTTGCAAAGAATGCTTGTAAAGGATGCGGAGATATAGTGTATTTTGTTATCCGCTTGATTAGAGCAGAGAAGAAATGCTTGGGGGCAAAAAAGTAGCATCCATAGTGAGATAAATTATTTTATTTATCGAAGTTACTTATTTGTTGAATGTATGCCCCCCGCCCTCCCCACCATAGCAGGCTCATAAAAATCATATGTCCTTATCCAGTCCTTCTGATTTCTTGGTTGCAAGAAATCTTTGGGTTGATGATTGAGCCAAGGAATAGAAAATCTTTCATAATTTCAATTTCTTCATCGTCAGCCTTAAAGTTGTGTAATTCCCCAGTAGTCATTACTTTTGTCTTCTTGGTGTTCAGCTATAATCCTGCTTTGGCACTTTCTACTTTAACCTTCATCAGTAGTCGTTTCAGTTCTTCACTGTTTTCTGCCAGTAGTGTGGTGTCATCTGTATATTTCAGACTGTTAATGTTCCTTCCACTCATTTTCATTCCACTTTCATCTAAAACTAATCCAGTTTTCCTTCTGATATGTTCTGCGTATAAATTGAACAGATAGGGAGGTAAAATACATCCTAGTCTGACACCTTGCCAATTGGAAACCATCCTGTTTCTCCATATTCTGCCCTAACAGTAGCCTCTTGTCCAAAGTATAGGTTGCACATCAAGACAATGAGATGCTGTGGCACTCCCATTCCTTTTAGAACCACCATGACTTTTCATGGTCCACATAGTCAAAAGATGTGCTGTCTCCCTTATAAATAAAAGCCGAATGGTGGTGGCACTTCTCTAGAACATTCCACACGCTCCAAAATCAGTTCGCTCTCTGATCTGTCATTCAGAGGGTCTCCCTATCCACTGGCTGCTTTGCCTGAGTCCTGGCTCCAACATTCTAAACATTTTGCTGTTCCTCTCCCCCCCATAGCCAGTCAGAAAACAGAGGTTATTTGCATATGCAGCCTCATTGGCCTTTGTCTTGGAACACAGAGGTCGTTTGCATATGCGACTTGATTGGCTTTTGCCTCTAACATTCTAAACAGTTTGCTGTTCTGAGGTAAAATGTGTCCAATCTCCAGGTGAGGGCTGGAGATCACTCAGAATTACAACTGCTTTCCAGACGGCAGAGA